ACATGCCGCTTGACCTGTCTGAGGCCTCTTGTGGGAATGTGGAGCCTTGAGATAAGGCAGAGATGAACATCCAAAGTTCTACCAGTTTGGCCTCAAGCCCAAGTCGTCGTCTTTCTGGAGGGTTGGTGCATGATGCTCGTCCTGATAGAGAAGGGGTAAGATTTTCTTTGTGAGCTTGGTCTTGACTTCTCTTTTGAGAATGATTGGCGGTCACTCATCTGGTTTTACTGAACACTGATTTTTTGCAGAGAACAGTGGATGGACTGGCTATTTTTACTCTATGTCAGGAGTAACTGAATGGTCTAGTAGATTAGATGTCCTCCTAGTTTGGGAATTTGACTCCCTGGGACCTTTATTGTCCAAGTTAATTTTCGTGGCACAGTTGCCATTCTTAGGCACCCAGCTAGAATCTAGGGGGAGAGGGGCGAGTCCTGCTTCTCTCTGCAGTCCCTCAAATGCATCCAGATCTTCTCCAGAAGCAGCTTTCCTAAAAAGAAGGCCATTTGTGCAAGACTGGATTTCACTCAGAGAAGGGACTATTCTACAGAAGGGCTTTGGAGGCCCTTTAGTTTTTACCCTTTTGCTGCTTTTCTCCTTAGCTCAATTTGGCTTGCAGGCTTCTGTCATCCTTGGCCCAGGCTGATGGGAGTTGTGCTCTGACATGTTTGGGAACTACAGCGTAGACAGGAGCACTTTCCATCATTTCTGCTTCCTCTTCCGGCATTTCAGCACCTGTGGAAGTCACTCCTTCGTCTTCTGTTTGGGCTTGCTTTGGAGGCGCTGGAGCACATTCAGAGTTTGAGAAGTTGTACTCAAGGGCAGTGTGAACCTGTCATTCTCCTCATCTTTCCCAAGTGATTTTTTTCCTAATGCATTTGCTGCGGGCACTTATAAAACGGATCCTGTTTTCTGCTCCTGAAAAGTAACTTTCACCCTGCCGAGGACCGTTTCGTTTTCTATCCAGTCCTTTATCTGCCAAGCGTTTGCTGATCCAAAATGGTTTAGCTCTGTAAATGTGAGTCAGCTGATTACACTATGAGGTAATTGACTTCCTCCCTTTGCCGTGTCCTTGTGAGTTGCTGAGACCAGCTAATTGTGCCCTGCTGACTGGGAGGGTGATGGGAATTGTCGGCAAACACGTTTGTTGGGGACCACTGTGCTGGGTAGTTCCCTGACTCCCCAGATTTATTGCTTTCAACAGAAACCACGAGAACTAATTAACCTGACATTTAAGTTGTGTGCGGCTTCGACTCTGTGTCTGGGAACGTTCATAACCTTTGGTGTTTTTTCTTTTAAAAGCTGTTTTCCTGCTGGGATTGCTTATCCTTCTTATAATGATGGATAACTTTTTGTGTGTGGGCCTTGTTTTATCAGAAAGACCTTGTTGTGTTCTGATTTGTCGTTTTGGGACTTGTATAACTAGGCCCTACCCCATAGGTACACAGCAGTATTCAGCTTCTAAAACCCAGCCTTTTTCCTTTGCCATGCTTCTACATTTCTGAGTTGATGCAGGTAGGAACAAACATTTGGTTTGTTCTTATACACAGTCCATTGTTTCTCACTCTTATTACATTCTTATCCTAATAACTCAAAAGTTATTTAAAATGGGCATTAATTATAACAAAACATAAAATTAGAGGGAATTGCAGGAAACTTGGTCAGGGACCTGTGATGCTGCCTAATCTCCTTTACAAGATTGTTGTGAAGAAAAGGAAGAATAGTTATGTTGTCCTGAGCTACTTGGAGAAAGGTCGATAAATATATAGGATGAATATGTCCAATATTTGCCCGTGGATAGAAAAATATATACTGGGGGCGTTGAAGTTTGCTTGGTAGAATATGAGGCATTATTAATATTAGGTAATAATATTTGAGTAATATTATTTAGGTTTGTATGTTGCCAGATCCTTCCAGACTTCTAACAGTAGCAAAATGCAATATAAATAAAAACATAAGGCAGAAATAATATAAACTCTGAAATAAACTAATAAACTAATGTCAACAGTCAATAAATAAACAACTTTACAAAATTACTATTACCAAAAAATGTAGAATTGGTAAACAATCAAACCCCAAAAGTCTTCTGGAAAAGCTTGGGTTTCAGATGACTTTCAACAGCTGTCACAGAAGAGGCCAGTCTGGTATCTGTTGGGGCCGTCCCCGAGAAAGACTGTTCTCTAGCCCTGTTCACAAAAATAGGGTACCACCAGCAGCTTCTTTTGGGAGGGTCATCTCAGAGGGGCAGACTTAGGAAGGCATTCCTGAAGGCAGCTCGGTGCCAAGCCACACAGGGTTTATAAGTCAAAGCTGGCACTTTGAACTGCACTTGGAAGCTGTTAGCCCTGCAAGGTAGTCCAGGCAAGAAGCACAACCAGGAGTACTAGCTCTATTTTTATTGTAAGGTTACATTAACAGAATCTTGCAAGACTGAACGTATTTCTCCCCTCCTTTCCTTTTACTCTCTGGAAAACTAGGGAAGGTCCCTTCTGAAACATTTCCCATGCCCTCCCTCCTTCTGTGGGCTGTCTTTTACACACTGGTTGTCAGGTCTGCAGCTCTCCCTCCTGTCTCCCAAAGTCATTCCCACATGCCATTCCAGAAACCTTTTGGTAGCAAGTGTAGGACCCACAAGATCTGATCAAGGTAGCACCAGTCACCAAACAATTTGCTACCATATCGGCCAACTGCAATTTCCAGATGGTCTTCAAAGGAAGTCCCATGTAGAGACATTGCAGAAGTCCAAGCAGGTGATGATTGAAGGCATAAGCTACTGACTCTGAAGCCTCACATACCAGAAGGGTATCACTGGCACAACAAACTGTAGCTGAGCCAAACCCCTCCTGCCAAAGCTTCCACCTGCCCATCAGCAGTTACCATGAGCCTAAGTGGGCCCCCAAGTTATGCCCTGCTCTTTCAGGACCAGCGACACCCCTTTGGAGATAACATGGGAGCCTACACAGCTTCATCTTGCTTGAGTTCAACCTCAACTTCTTTTATCTCATCAACAGCCTCTGGTACAGAGATCAGACTATACAGCATCTCCAGCTGGGCTGGTGGTAGCATCACCATATTGACGGCACTGCATCCTGAACTGCTGGATGACGTCTCCCAATAGCTTTATGTAGATGTTAAACAGCAGGGATGTTCCATAAGAGAGGGGTCACGAGGTGATCTCCCCCTCCCTTTTTCTGCCCCCAAATCACTTTAGCACCAGTCAGGTGCTAGGTTGGGTGCCTCGCTTGTGATCAAGGGAGCCTTCACAACCTGTTCCTACCAGATTTTGGAGACAAATCCTCCCTCCCTACCTCCAAACTCAGAAACTGGCCAGATTCACCATCTATCACATAGGGTTAACATGAAGATAATGTCTGAATTTCATCCTGGCACCAGATTTTATCATGGTCAGAGATGTGGTGCGGGTGTCAAATGGCCATTGCCAGATCAGAGAGAGCTTGTATTTAACACCAGCCCAGATGAGGAAGCATCTCTTGGGCTGAAACTCTACCTGGGTGAAATGCAGTAGAGAAGCACAGCCTCCCCCTTTTGCATTCCTGAGACCCCCAGGTCCCTGTGGCTTGTCTTTGACTTGGCCATGTGGCCAGCAAGATGCGGTGGTTTCCCTAAACCAAAGAGCTTGTCCTGTGACTGGAGATGGGGCTGTTCCCAGCACTGAATGCGACACCCCTTGGCAGAAGGGGTGGGGAGGCAGAAAACCACGCTCCTCCGCTGGAGTCCCCCTCTAGGGCTTTAACTTGCATAGCCAGGGCGGAGGTGCAGAATGGCATTTTAATCCGGAGTGGGGAGAGTCAGGCTACATGATGAATAAAAGGAAGTTACGTTCGCTGTTTGTCGTAATTTGGCATTTGGGGAGAGAGCAGCAGAAGGGAAAATATGAGAAGCTAAGATGCCTTCGCAGGCTTCTTTCTGGATCACCTCCCTCCCCAATTCTGAAGTGACATGGATGGAGACTCTTCCATTTGACCTATTAAGGGAGGGCCTCCCTTTTTGGATATATGTACAGCTATATATGCCTGGGATTTGGACACCCAAATGAGCTTTCACGCTGGAACCAGAGAAGTATACGCAGGCACCTTAAGAGAGAGGAATCTGTGTCATAAGTGGATTTAAAAATGCTTCCTCCTTTAGTCGATTGTGTTTCAAAACTTGTGGTAAGGCAGAAAAAACGTATATCTCATCAGTTCTTGTTCTAGAGGTAAGGACATGTTTTCCTTCAGTCCTGCAGACTGAGTGTGGCTGTCAGTTGAAGCCAAGTTTTCTTTCTGGCAGAAGTCGAGGCCCAAGATCCCATTGTCTTTTCAGAAAATGGTCTACATAATGCAGCAGGCCCAAGATGGAAAAGGGTTCCCTTCTTAGCATGGCAGGACGTAGGTCTGCCAATTCTAAGATACCGTCTGTAAGATGTATGTTTGTTTTTTAAACAATTGGCTTCCATTACGACCAGTCAAAATGCTTAAATTAATCAGAGTAACTGAGAAATAAACATGAAATCTGAATAAGTATTGTATCTGTAATTGTAGGTATTTACTATAATTACAGTAGATAATTATAGTACAGTAGATTCTATATCTACGCTATCTGCAGTACAGTAGATACTATAGACAATTACTGATACTTACATATCAAGACTGGTGAATTGAAGCTGCAATTAATAACAATAGAATTTATTTATTATGTGCCTTTCCTTGCAATGCAGTTTGTAAATTATTGTTTTTACATGATAAAGATTGGAATATTAAATTTTTTAAAACTGCCCTGAACACTGTTTTAGTAAGAATGGTTGGATGTAACTCTTATAAAATTGCACGGGATTGAACATACGATGCATCAGAGTCACAGAAAGAATCCAGCGCCTTGGGGTTGCCAGGACCAACAACACTGTTAAGTGTGGGCTTTTGTAAATTGCCTTCCACTTCATCCGGCCAGCAAGATTCCTTGAATGGAGATTGTGGTCGATCAGTCTGCTCCCTGCCTTTCTGAAGCTGTTCCTTTTGGCCTTTCTAGTGGTTCTTATTGGGGACTCCGGAGTTGGAAAAAGCAACCTTCTCTCTCGCTTCACGCGCAATGAATTCAACCTGGAGAGCAAAAGCACCATTGGGGTGGAGTTCGCCACACGAAGCATTCAGGTGGACGGCAAGACGATCAAAGCCCAGATCTGGGACACGGCTGGGCAGGAGCGATACCGAGCCATCACGTCGGCGTAAGTTGTCCCTTCTTTTCCTGCCCCAACTGAGCGTCTAAGTGTGTCTTATTTATTTATTATGTCTCCACACTGCTTTCCGTACAGTTCCCTCTGGATTAATTAAAACAGCAATTGTACAATAATACTTTGAATCGTAAATTTACCTTTAGCATGGCAGAAGGAGAAAATTATATGGTAGGAATAGTCACATTACCTATATTAAGGTGGTTCAATTACCTTATAATTTAAAGGTAAGTTAAATTAAACTTAGTTTTTCCTGCTGGCCCTGCTTGCTTTCTGGAGAGTAGTCTCTGGCAAGCCGCTGAACAGTGGAATGATTGGCCCTGCAAAAGTTTTGCACCCTCGGTTTAAAACTAAGTCATGCAGGGTAGGTTTCCCCTTCCATGGCCATGGAACTCTCTGCTCTAGACCTTTGCTAAATGCTTTTTAGAGGAGCTTTAAGACTCTTTTATTTGTGAACAAATTAGTGATGATGTGATACAATTAATGTTTCTATCTTTGAAGTCCTGATTCCTTGTTATTAGGCCTGTTAACAAAAACACATAATGACAAAATTAGCTTGAGGCTCTCAGTTATTAAATTCTGTACTAGTTAGTGGGTTCTCATCTGCTAAGGATCAGTTGCAACGTGCAATATAATTAAGTTTGTGCATTACACTAAGGTGCAATGTGGTTTGATTGGTACAAGCCTAGTTTATTATGATTTATCAAATCATGGCTGTATGCAATGCTGTGCAACTTCCCATTGTCTTGAAGGGTCCATCAGGTTTTGTTTCACGTGTGGAAGGTTGCACACCCTGTGTGAGTGGGGCCAAGGATTGCTTCAGGAGGAGGGACATGGGAGATTTATTTATTTGTTCAGTTTATGTCCCACCTTTATTTTGTACAACAAGGCAGTACATGAATTGTTCCCACCTTCTATTTTCCCCACACAACAACTACCCTGTGAGGTGGGTTGAGCTGAGAGAGAAGGACTGGCCCAAGTCTAAGTTTCCTGTCTAAGGGAGGAGCAGAACTCCTGGTCTCCTGGTTTGTAGTTCCTCACCATAATCACTGCACCAAGCTGGCTCTCTAAGGGATGGAGCAGGTATCTTAAGCATCTGCAAGGCTTTAGGCATAAGTTTTACCTGTTAAACTCCCCAGCCTTCCAAAATTAAAAAAAAGGGTGGGGGGACTATATGTACTCTGAGACTACTTCTCTGGCCCCCTGCTGGGGGGAATTGGTTGGCTGGGGAATTCTGGGACTTGAAGTCCACATATCTTAAAGTTGCTAAGGTTGAAAAACACTGGTGTAATGTGTGAACCCAGTCATAGGCAAAGTAGGGCCAAATGTTTGTCAAAGAATGAGCTCTTGGTCCTTCAGCTGTTGAGACTGATCATGTAGTTTATGGATTTCCACTGTGGAAGATGCATAGGCTGAAAGTATTTTCCTCCCCTCACTTTAATATTTAGCATTTGTTTTCATCCTTGTAAGCCCCCCAGATTTGTCAATGACTGGGTGGTCCTGGAAATGTAAATTATAAATAAATCTGTTGTGCCTGCTTGTGCCCCCAGCTATTACCGTGGCGCTGTGGGGGCCTTACTGGTTTATGACATCGCCAAGCATCTCACCTACGAAAATGTGGAGCGGTGGTTGAAGGAGCTGCGGGATCACGCAGACAGCAACATTGTCATTATGCTCGTGGGCAACAAGAGCGACCTGCGTCACCTGCGAGCTGTTCCAACCGACGAGGCCCGAGCGTTTGCAGGTCAGTGAGTTGGGCTCCCCTCAGACTGTGGCTGAGTCCCTGGGATGTCCTCGCCTGTAGAATTACATTGACTGAAGATTGCTTTAATTGTTACTGATGCTGCTTGTCTAGCTTCAGAGCAGGAGCTAAAAACAGATGATCTGTCAAACCTAGCAGTGATGGGAATTTTTGCATAATTAGGCTGCCCCGGCTGAGAAATCTTGCTTTGATGAAGTGCCTCAATTGACTAAGTAGAGAGGGCCAAGCAAGTATCTTGGAGGAAGAGATTGAACCGAGGAGGCTTGTGGGGAAGAGTGGCCTGGCCCCAAGCTGACAGGTGGCCCACTGAATCCAGAACTCCTTCACTAAGGAGCCCATTGATCATATCAACCCTTGGCCTTCTGGGCTCAGGACTGAAACTTTATTCATGTTATGCTTCCCGAAGTTAAGACGTGATTGAGATCTTTCACTCTGTTGTGCGTTGGCTTTTTATCTATTCCTCCTGATAACAAAGAAAGATGAAGCATTCTCTCTTTTTTGGTGCAGATTATTTATTTCCTAGATGTCTTTAAGGTGTCTGAACATCCTTATTTCTAAATCTCGGCTTGGTTACTGATTCCCCATCTCAGCTTCTCTCTGAATCCTGTTCAGCCAAAACAACATTTCCCCTCCACTATTTCCTTGTTTGTTCTTTTTAGAAATTGTCTGTAGTCCCTTCCTTTCCCAGGCTGGGAGAGGTCATAGATCAGTTGTGAAGGTGAACCTTGCAGCCATGCTGTGTGTTTATTAGTTCATGAAGTTCATAGCCAAAACCGTTTACAGGGCTCAGAAAATTGGAGACCTGATTGTAGAAGTAATCAGTGGTCTCACTCTGTATTTATCAGGTTTGTGTTTTGATTCATCCACCTCTTTCCAACTTTCTTTAGTTAATAGCATTACGCTTCGGCATATCTTTCATTCCCCTGCATCTCATTTCCCTGATAGTCTGCCCAGGATCTGCTGGAGAAATTGCTGGTGCCTGAAACTGCTGTTCTTCGCATATTTGTCAACTAGAGTTATATTTTAGCAACCTATCAATTCCATCAATAGGCGTGCACACCAGCTAGACAGTAGCTAGGCTTTTAAAAAAATTAAATAAGAATGTGCACTCTTTCCCTTCTTCCCCTGCATTGAAGGACAGGAGCAATTAAACTATGGAGCTGTCTGTCGTGACCTCATCACTGGCCGGTTAATAAATCTGAGTTTCAGACTTAGGCTGATTTCACTCTGGAATGTGACGTGGGGTCCTTTGCACTAATCATGATTAAAAAGGCTTGATTTATGCCACTTGCAGTCAAGAGAAGACTTTGGATTACAGTGGGGGGAGAAGGCGGGGAATGCTGGCAATTGGATTCTGTTTCAGAGGGACAGCATGTCCCCCTCCCCAATTCACTGAGCGTCTTGCATCAAAATGCCGTTTTCTGAGGATTGCAAAATTCCATCTTCTCTGTGCACATGATACTTTGCTAATCACTCAGGAAGGGAAAACAAGAAGTTCTATGGTGAAAAATTTTGCCCTTAAGCCAGTTTGATATTTACTCCTATTCTTTTCCATAGTTCTAAAAACATACTTGCCCTGATGAAAGGAACTTTATTTATTTATTTTTTTGGAAAGGTGGGAGCCCAGACTTATTTTAGACAACGCCTCTTTCTAAGCATAGGGCCTGCCAGAATAAAAGACGTGGGTTCTGCCTCCTGCCCTCCCCAGCCTGTTCCACAAAACCCTTGAAAAAAGAAGTGTACAAACACTTAGAGTATGGTTTCTAAGAGGGTTTACATGTTTATAAGTACTGCAATGTTTATAAATGTTTATAAGTACTACAAATCATTTGGAGTATAAAGAACGGGGGAGTTAGAAATCAAATACCTATCAACTTTTCCAAGCAGCTCCTTTATTTCTTTTTTCTTTTGTTTTTCTTTTCTTTTGTTAACATTTATAAAAAATAACAATACAGTGGAGACCTTAGTATTAAGCATTAAGCTCTAAGATAGAAACCTTTTTTATATGATGAAATAATTGAATGCATTTTGCAATTGTCTCTCAATACCATACTTAGCTTTAATTGTACAATTCAATGTTTGTTAACATTTTAGAAATTATATTTTAACACTGATGTAAACTTTTCTCCTTATCTTTAAAGGTTTAACTTATCTAAACCATCAAAATGTTAACCATTTCTAGTTTATATTGCATAAATGCCACGATACTCCCCCCACCCCTGGAAAGCAAAGCAAAGCAGAAGAGGTGTAGGCACCTGGAAGGGAGACTGTTGTGTATCTCCTAGGCAAACAAAGCACTATAAAAATGTTGTGGCATTGGCAGGTCAGTTGGGAAAGGTGTGAAGGAAGGAAGATCTCTGGAAGGTCTGTGAAACGATAGCGGGTGGTGCAGAAACTGAAGTCAGTTTTCTAGTTCTTCAGCTGTGATGGAAAACTGGGAAAGTCCGATGGCCATTTTGCCCCCCACTTGCACTCTCCAAGGCCACGAGACCCCCAGGCCAATCCCCCTGACCTGTCATCTTTCCTGCAGAAAAGAACGGCCTGTCGTTCATTGAGACCTCTGCTTTGGACTCGACAAACGTGGAAGCAGCTTTCCAGACCATTCTGACTGGTGAGTGGGGCCTTAGAGACGGTGACCATTTGCCAGAAGAGGAGAATTCTCCTTGTCCCTAAAAGCTCTAAAGTCTCTGACTGGCCTTGGCCTTCATAAGGGGGTGGGGGTGCTTGGGTTTTCGTATCGAAGGACCTGTCCTGAATGAGGAATGCTTTGGTAGAAATTCTGCCCTGCTGCCTTTTCTCTTGAAGCTCTCCATCACTTTCCTCTTATTGTTGAGTTGCTCTCAGCCTAAAGTCCAATATCGTTCCCTCTGAGAGAAGGAATGAAATCGCGGCAAGAACAAAATGTCCAGATAATGGATAAAATGTTATGTTATAAAAAAAGAAAGTAGCACAAAAACACTAGAAGATTATGAACTGGAAGTGGGGAACCCTCGTTACCTCTCAATGCATTCTGTGTCCCACCTGGCCAAACGCTGCTGCGTCCTGGTAGTAACAGTGGGTGTGTCTGCAAGGGAACAAATGAAAAGGAATTCATCTGGGGGGCCAGGAAAGATTTTCTAAAGGGGCACAATAAGTTTATTGCATATATTCTGTTAAAATCTATGTGCAGCAAGGCAGTTTGTCCCACCCTGAAGGCTCTTAATTTTTAAAAATGGCCATCACTATGCCCTGGTTGTCCATATCAAGAGAGAGAGAAGAAAGGCCCATCAATTCTGTCAGGCACACTCCAAAAACAGACAGACAGACAGAGAGACAGACCAGCTTTCACTCCTGAAGTGTTTGTAGTTTGATGGCAATCCTGAGAATTCTGCAAGTTAAACTACGCGCCCCGGGAAAAGTGGGTAGAAAGTGAGGGCTGAAACCCTTTCAGCACGTAGCTGGGATGTGCCTGAAGGCTCCACTTCCTTTTGCTCTCAATATGTCCAATGTGGTAAAAGTGACTTCCCTTTCTTTTGAAAGATTTCAGAATTGTTGATGCATTTCATTTTATGACTGGTCTTTTGAGCAATTAATGCCACCGGTAAATGATTCGCAGAAGAGACACTAAAGAATTTGCAGACGGCTGCATTTCGAGCACATACCCCAGTCTTTCTTTTAAAAGATACTGCTTTACTATAGGAAAAAGGACAAAAAGAAGGAGAAAGACAAATAAATAGAAAAGAGGCATGCATAATAAACAAACAAAACCATAAAGAAAAATCTCAGTTTTGAACCGGTGTTAGATCTTAACCACACATTGTACCCTGAGTTTGAATATTTTGTTCTTGGTAGACTTCTCTCCTTCCTTTCTTCAGTTCCCCAGCTTTCTCTTTGTCTTGGTGTGCCCCAGGGACCAAGGCACCTTTGGATGTGTCTGTGTCCTTTATTCCACCCTCGCAAGCAGGGCGACGATTCATTCATTTATTTCTATGGCTGCTCAACTTTGAAAGCCTAACTAACCTTTGCATTTGGAATCCTAGCCTGGTTGAAGACACTCCATTCCCCAGTCCTGCAGACGGTGGAGGGGAGGGACATGCAGAATATTCCGTGTACAACCATTCCATTAGGAACAACTGCTTTGGGGGGAAGCTGTGCCTGAATTGAAACATGCAGGGATCAGAATGTGGTGATTCTGAACAGCAGTGGAAGGAAGCAGAAAAAGCTAGGGATGAGAGGTTTCCTTATGACCCTGGGTGCAGGCCTCAGGGGGACAGGTGGGTTGGCATGCCTTGGCCATGCAGGGAAGGGAGAGCGGGCAGGTTGCCCCAGTCTTGCCCTACTCATCCCATCCAATCACTCTGGGATCCCTCCAGGTGCTGGAACCTGGAAGATCCAAAATGTTCTGGATTTTGTTTCTGCTGAACTGCAGACAATCTGAAACGTTTTGGAAGAACGTCTGGAACGTGTGATTTGAAACAAAACATATTTTCTGTTTCACGTACCCCCCTAATATGGGGTTAGGGAGAGGGTCTGCTGAATTAAGGATGGTGGTTTTCCGGTGGTCTTAGTTGAGAAAGCTCCACAGAAGGCTGTATCCTGTTGAACCCTCATCTTGCCCCCCTTTGCCCCATTTAAAGTAAACAGCAAAACAGATTGATTTCAGGAATTTATGTCAAAGTTTAAAATCCAGAGGCAAGATATCCTAATTAATAATATAGGGATTATAGCAAGTCCCAAAGATAGCATTTGCAGTACGTGGCAAAATGGCCAGGAAGTGCTTTTGGATCCCTGCTTGATAAACAACGGCTTAAGAGATAAGAACATAGTTTTTTGGAGTTTGGAAGCAGTGCTTGGAGTAGCTTTAAGTTCAGGTGAAAATCAGTCATCCCAGGGCAACTCTGAATCCCCACGAACACAGAGAACTCTTGGGTTAATAGAAACCGGTGCTCAGGCAAGGCGGGGCTTATGCATTCAAAGAAGTTGAATCAGTACAGACCAGCTTCTGCAACCAGGGCCCTCAGGATATTGGGTTTACAGCTCCCAGAATTCTAGGCATACCAGTCCCAGCAGCAAATTTGAGGGCTTCAGGTTGGAATGTGACTAGCCTGAGTGTGTGCAGGATGAGGTCCCAGGGTACACAGGGCCCACAGAACTCTTGGAGATAGCCTCCAAAGTTCCTATAGAAGTTACCATCAAATTGTAATTGTTAATGTGACAGACGATTATCAAGATAATCAGGATACAGGTTTTTTAAAAAATAATTATATGCATCAAATCATTTCTGGCCTGGCCCCATCTCTGTTTTTTATGCCAATCCTCCCTGTATTTCACAGAGCAATCCCTAGAATGCTCTCCAAGCCCCTTGATTGGAGTGTGCTTCCTGTTTGGACTACCTCGCAAGGCTGACATAGGCAGCGGCTTCCAGGGAGGGAAGAGTCATTTCATGCTGGTCATTCCCCAAGTTCTTACTTTAATTAGAGATACCTGGGTTGGAAGCCTTTGGTGGGCAAAAGCTGTAAGAGTGTCCATCTCGGCCAAGGCCTTGGATGTCAGTAACAGGCGAGCTTTGCCCATTTTTTAATGGCATTTTTCTAATTCCAGATGGTGGAACCCACCATATTTAACAAGTTATTTAATAATCCATTTGAATAGATCTCTGGGCTTGAGACCGTTATCTTCTGAATTGATTAATGAATAGGCCTGTCCTTACGCAGCCTAGTGATCATCAGTGATTGTTCAGCTCAGCCCAGCAACTCATAAGGGTTGGGGGGCAGGCCATCTAAAAGCACCAGGTTGGGTCAAGCAGATTTAAACTAATGACCACTGGGGAAAGGGGTAGAAGAAGATGGATTTATTGATCTATTGATTGATTGATTTTTCCTTTGAGGTTACCAATGTGCCTTACAGGAATAGAGATATTCCCCGGGTAAGGAACGCCCAGTCTAAGGATGACCCATGGTTAAGAACGGAGCCTATTGTAGCAAAATTCAAGAAATACACAATGGTTTGAGTTAATTACACAATACTACTTTTACAGTATTCTAATAATGCTGTTCTGACTTACATACAATTCGACTTAAGGACAGATCTTGGGAACAGAACTCGTTCTTAAGCTAGGGACTACCTGTACGCTCACAAAGTAGCTAGCTGGGGGAAAAACAGATGTGCAAGAAGGATACACACCTGACTTTCACAAATTTTTAAAAATAAAGTATCAGAGGCTCCCAATGACATCAAAATCTCCAAATGAGAAAATGTATGCTTATGTAGCAAGAGAAGTGAAACCTAGAAGGGACTGCATTGATTAGATGCTCACAAGCTAACAACCCCTGCAAGTGGGGCTTTGTGGCTGGTGCATGCAAGGAGGAGGGTGAATTCCAGAATGGAGGAATCAGCACTGGGCCCTCTTCTTCATCTCTGGTCACAAGCAGTTTCTCTCCTTTCAGAGATTTATCGCATCGTGTCCCAGAAACAGATGTCAGACAGACGTGAAAACGACATGTCTCCAAGCAACAATGTGGTCCCTATCCATGTTCCTCCAACCACGGAAAATAAACCAAAGATGCAGTGTTGTCAAAATATATAACAAGTTCAACTCCTCGAAAGCTGTGTACATTTCCCCAGATCTGAATGGAAATAGATCTCGAGCTGACATTACTATCCTCTCTTCCTTTTTCTCCCCCTCCCCCTTTTGTTTCAGTTATATTTTGTCTATTTTATTCTCCGCTCCTCCTTTTGTCACTTTTTCTCCTTGTCCTTTAATTTCAGTTCTGTGTCTCATCTCTTTTTACATGGGGCTGCAGCATTATCGGAATGCTAGTCCTGCAAGGCAAACGTTAACAATCACAGTGGATCTCCTGACTGGCTGATCTCAAGAGGGAACTAGATGACTTCTTTTGAACTTTCACCATTCAGACACTCCTGTAAACACAACCGCATGATTCGATGACTCCGTTTATCCATTTGGGCACCAGTATTAGGAGCTGTCTCTTGGCCTTTTACAGTCAGTGCCCTGCAGACTACAGCTCCCATCATCACTTTCAGCCCCACCGTTGGCTAGCAGCGATAATTGGAGGTGTAGTGAAATGTGTCTGGAGAGTGCCAGGTTGAGAAAGCCACTGCATTTCATTGAATGGGCAGTTGATGGCCTGGTCTGGGCCCTTGGCAACTTTCCCAGTGTCAAATGCAGATTGTTTGTTGGACTGCCTTTGTTTCTGGCCAAGAGCTGTGATCCTCTTCAGAAGACAAAGTTGGTGGTAACTTCTGTGAACAGCTGGGCCTAATGGATTAGCTTCATGAGCAGAGCCGCCTGTCTCTCCCCGGCCAGATGGCCTGTGGTCTCGCTTTTGGAGTTGGCTTTGTTGAGGCCACATGCGTGCAGCATTTTGATGGGTTTTTATTCAGTCTGAGCAAATGGATGATCTCCCCCTTGGAAGCAAGCCGTAGATCAGTCGTTCCACTGTGCAGATTAGGTTATTGCAGTCCAACTGGTTAAGGCCCAAGGTCTGTTGCTGCTGTTGGATGCCATGTAGTCGCCTCCTGCGGCATAAGAGGAAAGTCCCGTCTCGCTCTTCTCGCTAGTCCCTGTGGCTCGTTGTTGCAGTATTTAGTGTCACATGATATGGGCCCTGGGGATCATTTTGCATGTTGCACATGTACAGGTAATGCTTGGAGCTGGGTGTTACAGGTCCTAAGAAACCCAGACTTTCTGATGAGAATTGTCAGCAAAACAGGCTCTGGCTCCACTCTAGCCTAGTGCACCAGCCGCCTAAGACTGGTTGGGCTGGTTTAGCTTCTTGGGGCACCAGTTCCTGGCCTGGAAGTGCTTGAGCCTCCTCTGTTGTGCACTAAGAAGCCCAGGGGCCCTCCGCAAGCGTTGGAGCACTTCTGGGTTTCTAGAGCAGATAACATTCCTTCATCTCGTTTCCCCATGCACTGTTACGGTTTGCAGCCAACACTGCCTGCTCGTCTACAGCACTGTTCAAAGGAGGGGTGGGATGTGCACAGCAGCACATACGGAATTGTATGGTATTTGGGAAGCCCAGCTGAAGAGGAGAAAGTCCCTGGTTTATAGAGAAAGGAAGGAAGGAAGGAAGGAAGGAAGGAAGGAAGGAAGGAAGGAAGGAAGGA